CTCCCCGCAAAAAAAAAAAAGCGGAAAATCGGCAACGGATCGGGAGCAAACGGGGACGGACGAGGCTGGAGAACGAAGCGGTCCGGGCCAGGATGCTCCAACCTTTTCCCCGTCCCGCTCCATGGGCTCGTTAGAGCCTGAGATGGTTTAAAATTAACAGAGGAGATCGGAGGCCAAGGAGCCGGTCGGATTCGTTCGGCCGTTCACGGCGTCTTTGGGATTTTGGGTTTTTTTTTTTTTTTTAAATTAAAAAAGGGATTTTTGCTTTGACACCGTGAGTCAGCACAAAGGATTTCCAGGTGCCTCCGTCTCGGCTCCCCCGAGGCCGAGGCAGAAGCGTTTCTGGACGCGGGGGCCGTCGTTGCCCTTTTTGGCGATCCTAAAACTCTTTATTTCTCCGTCTGCTCCGACGGAGGAATAAGCGCGGAGGACGGGAACAGCCCAAGAGCTTGAGGCAGAGAGATCGATCCTGGTTTTTTTTTTTTTAAACTCTTAAATCAGGCTCAATTTGGGCCCAAAAGTGGGTCGGTCTTGCTGCTAAAAGCTGAGGGCTCGGGGGAAATCCTGCTCGAAAGGCGGGAAAAGCCGGGAGGGATTCACATCGGATGAGGCTCTTACCTTCCGGCGGCTCGGACATGGGGGGAGTGAGGCAGTACATGTGATAGCCGCGGTCGCAGTCGTCGCAGAAGAGCAGCTGGTCCTAAGCCGACGGCAGCGAGGTGGGGGAGAAAAAGACAAAAAAAAGGAGAGAAAATTCCGATGATTCGACCCCGTTTTCCAAAGGCGGACCGGGAAAAGCAGGAAAACCGCCTTCGCCCTCGTTACGACCACCGGGAAAGGCTTCGCCGGGATCCTCTGGCTGGTTAAAAGTCAGAAAACGGTTCTCCAAAAACCAGCCGGAAAAGGGATCCGGCGCCGTTTGTCCTTCCGTTGGCGCCCGGGCCGCCTCCGCGGAGCGTTCCCGAGGGACGCGGCGATGGAGGCGGGATACTCACGTCGTTCTCGGAGGTGCCGCAGATGTTGCAGCACTTGCACTCGATGCACTGCCAGCGGTACGTCTTCACGGCTGCCATCATGACCGGCGTGAACTGCAGGCACGAGGG